GCGGCACTTAAGCCCGACCTCGATGGCGCAAGGTCGTTCGCCCGCCTCCCACAGCTCGGAGGTCGGTAGCTCTCCTGGGACCAGTACTGGTCCCTCATTAAAGTCATTCCCTAAACCCAAGCATCCAAGCTTCGGCCTTGGAATGGGTGGTTTTGGAGAAGAGTGATAGGTGGCCCTCCACTATCGGGCCATGGCTGCTCTTCGCATGTCACGAAGCTTGCGAAGCAAGCCTGTATCCCAGCCTTCACCCTAAACCCTCCCTAAACGGTTATGCTGTTAGAGGATCGGGGCTGAGGTTGTAGGATTTTACGGTTACAGGCTTTGAGGGTGATGGGGGTGCTTTAGGGCTGGAGGCTTAGAGGGTTCTAGGGTGTCTCCAGCTCGGGGCCAGCAAGGGAGTGTGGGGGTTTTTGGGTTTAGGGTTGTAAGAGAAAACACAGCCATTGCCCATAGGCCCACAGTAGAGCTTCACCCTAAACCCTAAACCCTAAACCCTAAACCCTAAACCCTAGTAGTGGCTCCGGGCTCTGAACCCTAAACCCTGAACCTTAAGACAAACCTACACCCTAAACCCTAAACCCTCAAAATCCTTAGCCTTAAACCTCATCTGCCCCTAAAACCTTAACCCTTAAACCCTAAACCCTCAATCCTAACCCCGGAAAGGCTGGTGTGCTGATGAAGGACTTGGAATCGGCAAAGGTCCAGGCTGCGGGGTTTCGGGGTTTCTGAGCGCAGAGCCCAGGAATTGGGGTTCAAGGCTCCACCTTGAATCTTCAGTTATGTGTCGGTGGGGTGGGGAGGGAGGGCTCCTTCAGGGAGGTAGAGGTTTTTGTGTGTAATTAGGGTGCGGGGCGGGCAGGCTTTTTCGACTCAAATACGGGTGCGACATGTTAACCGCAGGCCCTTGTTTCGTTGCAAAACTGGTATTTCCTTTGTATTGCAACAGACACATCTCATTGTTCTTCCACATTGCAATACTACATATTTTCGCGATGCTTCTCACGAAGCCAGCGAATCTTGAGAACTGCTCTGGGTTTGGAGTTTAGGATATAGCTCAAAACCTCAACCCTAAAGCCCTAAACACTTGAAAGTCTGAACTCTAAACCCTGAACCCTAAACCCTTGAAATCCCAAACCCTACAGGGCTTGGGATATAGGATTTCCATGACCCTAAGCCCTAACCCCTAAGTCTGGCCTCACAAGGCTGCGCCAAGTTCGGAGCCGGTTCAACGCGATGTGCCTCCTGCCTGAAAGGCGAAAGGAAGTGGGGGCATCCCCTCGACAGAATTTGGAAATTCAAGTCCCTTCGAGTTACACTTGAAATCCCGAAACTCTAAACCTTGAACCCTCAACCCATCAACCTAAGCACCTGAGCACTTGAGACCGTCCACCCTGAACATTCCGTTTCGCGCCCAACACTCCTCAATTCAGGAACCCACCTCAAACCACAACCTAGGGGGACGTTAAATGAAGTGAAAGTATATGAAGCAGGGTTTATATTACTGTTTTTGGTGAGTGTATATAAGGTTCCTTTTTAATATTGGTGAGTGTATATACCTGGTGTCCTTTTGGATATACCCTACTTCATATCCCTAAGCCCTTCAATGCGTGCACTGTCGGGTTGCATCCTCGGGTGAGTCAGGGTTTCAAGCGTTTAGGGGTTGAGGTTATCGGGCTGAGAGAGTGTCGGGTTTGGAGTTTAGGCTTCGAGTTTAACGTTGCAAGGGTTACCCTAAACCCTAAACCCTAAACCCTAAACCCTAAACCCTAAACCTTAAGGGGATTCATGGTTTAGAGTTTATTGGGTTTAGCGTTCAGGTCTGCAGCTTCCACCAGCGCCGTTCAGGCGCGCCTGACGGGAAGGTGCTTGTTGAAAATTCCACGTCCCATAGCCCTGAAGGCGACATAGCGCCTTTGGGGTTTAGGGTCTTAGGATTTCGGGTTGAAGGTTCCGGGTTTAGGGTTTAGGGTGTAGGATCTATACTGTTAAGGCCGAACCTGTCAACCACTGAATCCCTTCACCCAAACCCGTCCCCCAACACGAAACCTGTGCTGAAGGCAGTGCTGTCCCGCGGTTTGGGAGCGTGGCTTTGTGTTCTTGTAGACCCTCCAGCCCTTGGACCCTAAACCACCCTAAAGCCTCAATCGCTAGGGGGGGTTAGGAAAATGGGTTTGGGTTTTCAAGGGTGTAGGGTCTATTCGCTTTGGTGTTTTGTGGTTTCGGGTTAGGGTGTTTAATATAGGGGTCGGAGTCGTTACATTTTCGACTAATCTTCCCTTAAGGGCCCTGTATAATATTTCTACAGTATCTTCACCCCATTCTAATTGTTCCGACCCCTATAGTAGGTTTGTGAGCCCAACGCTGCAGGAAGACGCCACGGCCCGGGAGATCATGAAGCTGCTGGCGGGGCCCTCTGTCTCTTGCGTTTTGAAGGGCTTATTGTGGGCCCTTTGTGAGCCCAAAAACCCTAAATCCCCTAAACCCTCAACCCTAAAAGTTCCTAAAACCCTAAACTCCTTAGACTCCAACTGCCCTAAAGCCCTTGCCCTAAACCCCAATCCCCAAGACCCAAACCCCAAACCCCAAAGCCGAAAGCCTAAAGCCCAAAGCCTAAAGCCTAAAGCCTAAAGCCTAAAGCCTAAAGCCTAAAGCCTAAAGCCAGCTTGCTGCCTCAAGAGTGAGGCGTCACAGGGTTTATGGTGTAGGGTATGTAGCGTCAAGCGCACAGCAAGGTAGCAGGCAGGTTGGACCTACCCTGAACCTCAAGCCTTGAACCTTACGCCCTAACAAACCCTACCCTTTTCAACCCTGATAAGTCCTAAACCCATTTTTTGAGGCACCCTGAAGCTTAAACCGAATGAACCCTCTGCCACCTTACACCCTAAGCCCTGACCAGCAAAAAGAACTCCGAGGCAAAGTAGCTGTCGGAGTAAGCCTGTGCCAAACTCCATGTCCAGAGTACGAGGAAGCCCGGCGATACCATTCTCTACCCTGTTTGGATTCCAGGTTCCGGCACTCAAGCTGGCCGACCCTCGAATCCCGGAAGCCCTAAATCCCCAAACCCTGAACCCTACACACCCTAAACCCTAATTGCCCGAAAGCCCTAAACCCCCGAGGTCTTTTGTTCTTTGGGCGTTGGGTTGGGGGCCGCAGCTTCCTCTGCAAGGCCCAAATCAACGGATCCTGATGCCCGGCGCAGTGCAACCTTTCACTGGACGGGAAATGGCAGAGAGTTTAGGGGGTGTAGGGTTTGGAGTTGTAGGTATGTAGTATTGAGGGGGTTCATGGTTTTGGGTGTTTGGGGTTATGTATATAGTGGGTGGTCGCCACTCCCGTTCGTTTAGGATAGAAGCATGGCAAGATGCCTTTCAGCAGAAGGCGCTCTTGTCTTGAGGAGAGACCATGCCAGTTCTCGAGAAAGAGTTGCATGCGGGGAAAAACAGTCCTCTCACAAGGGGCATCACAAGGTGGCGGGCGTGAAATCAATGTGGCAACTACTTTAACATTCTCACTAGATGACTGCGAGGCGTGGATTGGGAACTCCTAACTTGAACACCCAATACATCGAGGCTATTAACTGCCCATATTGCACTCATCATGTGATGATGCCCCGGCAGTGCAAGGACCAGGTGCATCGCCCTAAACCCTAAAGTATCAAAATGCACTCTGCCAACCCTGTCCGCGTTGTAAGTTGACTCTGTGCGTCAGGCGCGCTTTGGCTTTAGCAGCGACATTAAACGCGGCCATGTCATGTTTGAGGGTTTAGGGTTTACGGCTTGCGGTTTGCGGTGTGTTTCAGCTCTTGCTTGGCGGTTTTGGGGCAGCAACAGCAACTACAAGAGCTCAATACCCTGGGTGGTCTACAGTCTGCATCTTGCGCGTCGGCGCATGTTGGCACCCGGCCTTTCGACGTTTTGGAGCAGGCCAGTTTGCCTTGAACACACTTTCTGAGTTGCTGATTTCATATGCATTGCAGGCCATGTGTCTTTTAATCCTTTTCATTCATTGTGGCTGCGGGTGGGTGCAACACATCTTGCAGTTGTGCGGACGTGCGCACATTTCGCAGAGCCGGTCAATCTTTTCCTTTTGCTGTGCAAGCTAACAGGAGGTTCTCACATCTCCAGGTGACCGAGCGTTTCACCGCCCTTTGCCATCTCGCTGAAACGCAGGCTTCGCCATGACCAATGAAAAGGAGGACGTCGTCGAGTGGTGCATGGGACTCTACTTAAAATACGTGGCCGCCAGTTCTGTATTGGTTGGCATTTTCTCGGTACTCTCATCGGTTTGGGCAACGGTATCGGCTGGAGACTTGCTTGCCCCGATTGCCGCGGCTGTCATCGTCGTGATGATGCCCTCCACGGAAAAAGACGGCAACGGCAAGTCGGTCTCAGTCTTCGTGATCTTCACCGCAACAGTACTGGTTCGCAACTTCACTAGCGGACCTTCAGTTCCAGGAGCCAATTGCTCTGCAGAGCAAAACTCATCCACCCTGGCGGGGCAAGGAGCCCACAACTCTTCTGAGGAAAGTGCTTTCCGGGAGACGGTTCTCAACAAGCTCGCAAACTTGTCTTCGGCCCTTGTGGAAGGAGTTGCCAGCAACTCTGCAAAGGAGAGTGCTTTCCATGACACAGTTCTTGCCAAACTCGCAAATGTGTCTGCAGTCCATGTGACCAACAGCTCTGGAGAGGAAAGCGCATTCCATGACGCAGTTCTTGCCCAGCTCGCAAACCTTCGTCCCTTGTGCGACCCGAAGCCAGCAACTCTGCGGAGCTCGCAAATCTGTGTTTGACCCTTCGGGAAATAAACCGTGACGAGCACATGAGCTTGCAAGAGCTAGTCCCAAGTGCAGGGGTCATTCTCCTCGTGGCTCTTCTCGTGGTCTTGCTTGGCTTTGCATCCAAGCAGAGGGGGAGGTCAAGTGGCTTCGCAGGCAGCTACAAGACAACACAGCTGGAAGAGGCCGCACAAAACCGAAACCAAGACATTTGCCGGATGAGAGCATGGGCTTCACCGTCGTTGATGAGGATTACGAGCCTTCCATCACCAGCTGCACCAGCACGAGCACCTCGTGGATTGTTGTGTCCGATTCCTACTGCTTTATGTTGGATGACATCTTCAAGACTCGGAACCACGGCGTGGATCTCTTCATCAAGGGGAGCGCCCTCATGAAAGGATCCCAGGTCCTGGCCGTGGACGATGAGACAATGCTGACCGTCGTTCAGAAGCCGGAGGTCCGTGAAGCCACGGAGGTCGTCGACTTGCGTGCCGGGCATGCCATGCTGCGAGTGACACTTGACCATCCCGTTTGCGTGCCAGATGGACATGGCGAGTTCTGCATGACAGATGCCTGCTACATCCCGGCCGGGGCCTTGAAAGAAGGTGATCTGGTGGTGCTCGAAAGTGGAGAGCCGGCGCCCCTTACAGAGGTATGCAGGAAGCAAGGCGTTTGCGATGTGCTGAAAATCGTCTTCGACCAGAACATGCCCATCGCAGTCTTCTCTGAGCCGCCCAGCATCTTGAGCAAAGGCTTCAAGAAGAAACTTAATGATACTTGGGAATGTTTTTTCATCTTTGAGGAAATATAATTCCTAAGAAACAGCCAAAAAATGAAATTTTGCTAGGGTTCCAAAGTCAGTATAGGAAACCCGTCCGCCGCGGCGGCATGTGCTCCCGCAGCCGGCCAGCCGGGGATGGGCAAAACAGCATTCCCAACACCGCCGGCAGGCTCAGCGACTGAGGGCTACTTGGAGCTTCAGGGTACTTATGACCCCAATTAAAACTGCACTTATAAGCCCCCTAAGTCCCCTAAGTAGGTTAAAAGTATACTTCTACTGGGGTTGATAAGTACCCATGAACCTCCAAGTACGGTCCAACACCTGAGAGCGCTCCTTTACTTCATATGCTCCCTGTATAGCATTTTTGTTCTGAGACAGCTGCTCGCGTGGAATTATGTTTCAAGCCATCCGCCTAGTGCACAGCTTGAGCAAGGCCTCAGCTAGTGCCTGCGTCTTCCCCGATGTTAGGGGCGCTGGCGCCCAGAGCACGCTCCTGTGCAGTGCCTGTGTCCACAGCACCTTCTCATCTCACATGCGCAGCTCTCCCTCAGTGAAAGACATGCTCCGAGGCTTTGGGCGTGAGCCCTTTGGATCCAAGAGCTTGAATCGAAGTCTTTGCTGCGGTATCAGTACTTAATTCCTGCACTTCTAGGTTACAAATACGTGCATATGAAGAGAGCCGTTTGTCATTGCAGCATTACTTGTAAGACCGGGGCTTCGAAACCCGACAGCCCTAAACCTTAGAGGCCGCAGAGGAACAAAGGGTGGCAACAACCGAAGTATTACTAGTAGAGTACTTGCAAGGACTGAGAGTTCTTATTGCCATGAACTGGAGGCTGCAAACATGAGGGTTAATTTGGGATTGCTATTTGTGCGTCTTGACACGCACGGCGAAGAGCAGAACATGGCTCTTAAAGGAAACGCGCAAAGCAATGCGAAGTAGGGGTTGGTGGTATAGACTCCATCATCTTACTACAAGTGGACCCTCTGCACATGTCAACACCAAGCACGCACCGTCCTAAGCCCTGCCTTGCAGTTCTGGATCTTCGACCGCTGCAGCTTGAGGCATCGTCCGCTCGGCCTTGAATGCACAGCTGATGTTTTTTTGCCACCGTTGGAGGTTTGGTTTGCTAGAAGTCCGGTTGCGTGGCACTCATCTGTGACTGGGGTATGCCCTTGGATTTTTTTGTTTTTGCCTCATTGGGTTCAAGAGGAGCATGTTCAGGAATATGTGTTCCGAGGCTTTGCGGGGCCAACCTGGGTAGTATCCCGCCGCTGGTTGGCGATCTTCACTTCATGCAGACCTAGACATCTGTTTCGATTTCGTGTAGGCGCTTCGCTGTGGGAGACATGGGAGACGATGTGAGAGCCAAGCCGAAAACCTCATCGAGGGACACCGAAGGCATCGAAAGAAAGTTGCATCTGCTTCCGAATCAACGTCCCCACTCAGCCCCTCCACAAGCCTCAGGCCATGTGCCAGAGCTGGAGCAGGAATGTTCAGACCGGCCACGAGCGACTTGGTAGCTTTATGAATTGCAGAACTCATGTTGGAATGTCTTGCATGAGCCACATGCGGCAAGAACTTCTTCACGGGTGCCGTGACTAGTGGCTTCCACAAGCCCAGCGCCACATGCTCTTCATACCCGGACCGGGCTCTGGAGATTCTTGGCTCGTCAGGTGGCCGCAATAGTTGCTGACCTTGCCTGTGGCCATGAACCGAACCGTGTGGAGGTTGCTTGCGGCCTCCCTTGCCTCCTTGGCATTTCCGCACGCCGGCGCGGAGGCCAGCCGGGGTACCTGCCAGTGCGACGGCATCCTCGACTGGAACGACCCCAGCTTCGGCAAGTGCGACTGGTGGGGTGATGTCCACATCACCAAGAGCTGGCGATCTCCCGACGTCTTCGACTTCCAAGGCTATGGCGTCTACAGCTACGCCTCCACCACCAAGTGCGGCGGAGACTTCGAGATGCAGCTCTTCCAGTGCCCGTACAGCAGGAATGGCAACGCCGTGGCCATCGGGGTTGCGGTGAAGGTGAACAACGGGGACGTGGTTGTTGTTGCCAACGACACGGTGTTCAATCCCAACGATGCCGACGTCTCGGCAGACACGATGGAGGACCTCAAGAAGGGAGTCAGCATCGTCAGCGACGACAAGTGCGTTCGCCTCAACGTGAACACCAAGCTCTATCGCAGGGCCCCAACCCTCCTGCACAACGGGAACTTGCGAGTGATCCAGGAGGCGCTCACCAACGAGGGAATCTGCGGAGCTCCGACTTTCGGCGGGGAGTTTGTGGCGCCTGATGGGCCAGACATGCTCTTCCCCGAGGAAATGTTCAAGGAGATGTGCGGCTTCTGCGAAGATCAGACAGGCGTCTCCGTGCCCGGCTGCACTCCCGCCGGTGGCGGCGACCCAGTCATATCGCCGGGCTGCGACTTTTTGCAGTTGAGGCCCAGCAAGGAGTTCGTGGACTGCGCCGGCGACCAGGACCCGGTGCTTGAGGAAGCAAAGGCGGATGGTGAAAACTGTGTCGCGTATGTGCGCCTGCAGAAGCAAACATCATGCTCTGAGTTTTGCACGGAGAAGGGCTCCACGTGTGAGATGGCCATCGACCAGCCGAACGGCCAGAAGTGTGTGGCCTCCGTGTCCAGCTTGAGTGAGATCGACACAAGCAAGATCAACTGCGATGCCAAAGGCTTCCGTGACCTCATCTGTGTCTGCAAGAAGCCGGATAACCCAGCACCAGGACCGACGCCAGAGGAGGCATGCGCCGAGCAAACTGACTTCTCCGTGCAGGATGCGGCAAACCTGTGCCGAGAGAAGGCGGACTTCCTTCAGGGAGTGGTGTACCCGGGCACCGGGGCATCGCCAGATGCCATCTTAAAAGAAGCCTTTCTGCGGGCGTGCATCCTCGACGTTTGCTCCGCAGCGCCCGAGGATCGCGAGGAGGTGGCAGAGAATGCGGCGGACCAGGATCCTTCAAATCCCCCGGTGGAGCCATCGACCACCACCACAACAACAACTGCCCCAGCTGTTGTGGGAGATGAGTTGTACGTCTTTGGCTTCACCCCCTACGTTGGCTCTTCCTCTCCTTTCCAGCCGCAGGGAGTGGTGGAAGTGGAGTCGCTCCCCGACGGCACCACCCGCCTCTCCTGGAGCCTCACAGGACTCGACCCGGCCTGCAGCAGCCAGTGCAACCAGGCGAACTGCTGCGGCGTTCACATCCACGAAGGCAGGGGGGGCATCTTGGGGCATCTTGCAGGTTCTGGCAAGGTTTGCAGCGCGTGTGTCGTGGGTCATGAGACTTTGGACCATTCGGCAAGATGAAGATTGCAGGTAGCCTGCAGCTAACCCCGAATTCTCGGGCCTAATCTCTGTTTAGAGCGCGAGAAGTTGAAACCGCGAGGGATTAGGGAGTTGCAGATCTCAAAACATCCGACGACCTTTTTCACAATGCTTCTCGCTGTTGTACTTCCTGACGTTGTTTATGCTTTCCGCAGCTCCCTCAAGAAGCCCCTTTTCCTCAAAGTCCCCCAATGCGTTTAGGGTTTAGGGTTTAGGGTTTAGGTTTTAGGGTGAGTCCTAGGTCCTACGGATCGCACAGCGTCTGCTAAATGGAGTTGCCTTTGCTTGCCGTTTTCGTGCCCGCAACAGCCCAAGACCCTGGCCCGGAAAGTGAAAGTCAAAACCGAGCCCTGACCAACCCACCCTTTTTTTCCAGTTCATGATGTCTTTCCATTTTCAGATTTTTTTCATAACATGTGCCAGAATCTCCTAAACTGCAGACCGTCCATTGCAACTTCATCTTACGCCCAATGCACTTTCTTAGCAGAGAAGCGTCACAGGCTCCCAGCGTCGGGCAAGTCTGGGAAAGAAGACACCAAGTAAGAGATGCCTGTAGCTCTAAAAAAAGCGGGGAGAGGGAGGGAGAGGGAGGGGAGAGGGAAGGGGAGAGGGAGAGGGAGGGGGAGAGGGAGGGGGAGAGGGAGGGGCAGAGGGAGGGGGAGAGGGAGGGGAGAGGGAGGGAGGGGAGGGGAGAGGGAGGGGGAGAGGCCACTTTTGCTCACATTGTCGGAATTTCTGTAGTCCTGAGCCCTGGACAAGCTGGATCGCCTTGATGTGTTGTTGTTGCAGGCAAGAGCTGCAAGATCCCTGCCGGCGCTCACTTCTGGGACAGCGCCAGCATCTCGCAGGACCCTTGGCTGTCCGTCAAGTATGACTCCAGCACCGACCCGGCGAACCTCCTGTCCAAGGAAGTGAAGACAGGGTTGAGCAATGAAGATGTCTTGGGCCGCACCTTGGTGATCCATGATGCGACGGGCGCACGCATCGCTTGTGGCATCATTGAGCCGTCCACAACTACGGTCTTCGAGAAGTACCCGAACTACGGTGGAGGTCTGCCATTGACGGCCGGTGGCGTCAAGGTCCGGGCGACTGTTGACACGGGCAGTTGGTAGCTTCGATCGTCAAGCGTCAAGAGTCTAGAGGACACCATCAGTGCCCCAAAAGGAAACCCAAATGTAGCAGCTACGGGAAAAACAATCTGATGCCTGGCTGCCTGCACATGTAGCGTCGAAAGTGTGCCAGTTGCTGTTCGGAGGTGGAGTCGGACGACACCACGCAGAAGCTCAGCTGGCTGTTCACGCACGGCCTGGACCCTCAGTGCACTGAGTCCGAGTGCACTGCCGCCAACTGCTGTGGAGTTCACATCCATGAGGGCATGACCTGCTCGGATGCCGACGCCATCGGCGGCCACTACTGGAACAAGGATGCCCATTCAGAGGATCCTTGGAAGGACGTGCGCTACGTGATTCAGGGATCCATGCCATCGGCCGTCAACGACATCATGGTCACGACCGGCTACGCGGCCGAGGACATCAATGGCCGGGCTGTTGTGGTTCACGACTACGACGGTGCACGCATTGGCTGTGCCATCATCGAGCTGCCCGTGGTCGAGACGCCCGTGGAGGGCGATGACTTGTATGTCTTTGACTTCAGCCCGTATCCTGGCTCCTCATCTCCATACCAGCCGCAGGGAGTGGTCGAAGTCAAGTCCACGGAGGATGACAACACGGTTCTGTCTTGGAGCCTGACAGGACTCGACCCTGGTTGCAGCAGCCCGTGCAGCCAGACGAACTGCTGCGGCATTCACATCCACGAAGGCAGGGTGCGATCTTCAATGAAGGAGGATTCCTGTTTGGGCACTCATGAGGTGTTAGGTAGGGTTTGGGAGTGGTCCGCCGCAAATTCGTGCACTTTGCCAGGCACCAGTTGCGCGGAGGATGCCGGGCCCCACCACTGGAACGGGCACGACGAGGATCCCTGGCTGTCGGTCAAGTACGACTCCAGCGAGGACCCGGCCAACGTCCTCTCCATGGAGGTCCACACACACCTCACTCGCAGCGACGTCTTGGGCCGAACGTTGGTGATTCACGACAAGACCGGCGCGCGCATAGCGTGCGGCATCATTGAGGACAGGGAGATCCCTGCACACGTGATAAGGCGCTTGCAAGGCTTGAATCTTGACTTCAGCAAGCCGCCCAATACGTAGCTGTATTCTATTGTAGCATGTGCTGCTTAGTGTGCCCCCTCCTCGCCACAATTCGGAATGCTTTTGCGAATTCTCGGGGGGTGGGGAGTTCAAGGGTAGGGGTATAGGGTTTAGCGTTTCGGGTTTAGGGTTAGGATTAGGACTTAGGATACAGGTTGTTCAGACTGCTACCTCGTGGTCACGACAGGGAGGAGGTGGGTGGAAGTTACGAGCTACTCCAGTTTGCAGTGAGAGGTGCATGGTAAGCTGTCCGCTAGTCCCGTTTCGATGTTCGCCAGGAGTCCACGACCACGGTCTTCGAGGAGTATCCTGACTATGACGGCGATTTGCCTTTGACATCTGGTGGGGTGAAGGTCTGGAGGGTGTGAAGCGAGTGGTTTGTCTGGTGTCTGGTTCTTGCGGCATGCAGTAATGAGGTTGCTGCGTCACGAGGTTCGAGTTCCCCGCCGCAGGCTGTTGCCCCTTTTTTGCTCTTTCCTGTCGTAGGTCGAGTCGGACGACACCACGCAGAAGCTCAGCTGGCTGTTCACGCACGGCCTGGACCCTCGGTGCGATGAGCCCTGCAGTGCCGCCAACTGCTGTGGCGTTCACATCCACGAGGGCATGACCTGCTCGGACGCCGACGCCATCGGCGGCCACTACTGGAACAAGGATCTCCATGCAGAGGATCCTTGGAAGGACGTGCGCTACGTGATTCAGGGCTCCATGCCATCGGCGGTCAACGACATCATGGTCACGACCGGCTACGGGGCCGAGGACATCAATGGCAGGGCGGTTGTGGTTCACGACTACGACGGTGCACGCATTGGCTGTGCCATCATCGAGCTGCCCGTGGTCGAGACGCCCGTGGAGGGTGATGACTTGTATGTCTTTGACTTCAGCCCGTATCCTGGCTCCTCATCTCCATACCAGCCGCAGGGAGTGGTCGAAGTCAAGTCCACGGAGGATGACAACACGGTTCTGTCTTGGAGCCTGACGGGACTCGACCCTGGTTGCAGCAGCCCGTGCAGCCAGACGAACTGCTGCGGCATTCACATCCACGAAGGCGGGGTGCGATCTTCAATGAAGGATGATGCTGTTTGGGCACTCATGAGGTGTTGGGTAGGGTTTGGGGCTGGTCCGCCGCAAATTCGTGCACTTTGCCAGGCACCAGTTGCACGGAGGATGCCGGGCCCCACCACTGGAACGGGCATGGCGAGGATCCCTGGCTGTCGGTCAAGTACGACTCCAGCGAGGACCCGGCCAACGTCCTCTCCATGGAGGTCCACACACACCTCACTCGCAGCGACGTCTTGGGCCGAACGTTGGTGATTCACGACAAGACCGGCGCGCGCATAGCGTGCGGCATCATTGAGGACAGGGAGACCCCTGCATGATAAAAGACACAAGATTTGAATCTTGACACACACACACACACACGCTCAAAGACAAATATCTTAAGCAAGCCGCCCAGTACGTAGCCGTAATCTATTGCAGCATGTTCTGCTTAGTGTGCCCCCTCCTCGCCACCACTCGGAATGCTTTTGAGCGAATTCTTGGGGGGTGTGGAGTTCAAGGCCACGCCTTGAGAGTAGGGGTTTAGGGTTTCGGGTTTAGGATTAGGATTAGGACTTAGGATACAGGTTTTTCAGACTGCTACCTCGACGAATCTTTGGTCACGAAACTTGGTCACGACAGGGAGACAATGGGTGGAAGTTACCAGCTTTATTAGGGTTTAGGGTTTAGGGTTTGGGGTTTAGGGTTGAGGGTTTGGGGTTTAGGTTTGCTACTCAGTTTGCCGTGAGAGGTGCATGGCAAGCTGTCCGTTTGTCCCGTTTCCATGTTCGCGGCTGATCGCCAGGAGTCCACGACCACGGTCTTCGAGGAGTATCCTGGTTATGACGGCGATTTGCCTTTGACATCTGGTGGGGTGAAGGTCGGGGGGGTTGACGGTTGAGAGTTTAGGGTTGAGGGTTTAGGGTTTAGTCCCAGCTACCGTCTGTTACCCTTTTACCCTTTCCTGCAGGTCGAGTCGGACGACACCACGCAGAAGCTCAGCTGGCTGTTCACGCACGGCCTGGACCCTCGGTGCGATGAGCCCTGCAGTGCCGCCAACTGCTGTGGCGTTCACATCCACGAGGGCATGACCTGCTCGGACGCCGACGCCATCGGCGGCCACTACTGGAACAAGGATCTCCATGCAGAGGATCCTTGGAAGGACGTGCGCTACGTGATTCAGGGCTCCATGCCATCGGCGGTCAACGACATCATGGTCACGACCGGCTACGGGGCCGAGGACATCAACGGCCGGGCCGTCGTGGTTCACGATTACGACGGCGCGCGCATTGGCTGTGCCACCATCAAGATCTGTGTGGACAGCAAGTCCACTGTGAAGGGCGCCATTGAGAAGCTGGAGGAGGCCGTGGATCAGATCAAGGATGCTCTTTCGGACTTGAGTGCAATGGTGAACAGCAGCGGCAAGGGGGGCCACTCCGGCTACCACTCCTCGCACTACTACGGCACCTACGGCACGGACAAGGAGCCGCCCTACAAGTGCAACAACATCTGCGCGGACATTTGCCAGACCCAGCACCCCGAGCCGGCGCACTGCCAGCATCAGTGCAAGACCCGACAGAATGCCATCCTGGACATCGCCCAGGTCTACTGCAACCATGGCCTTTGCTCTAAGTCTAACCTCATCGAGACAGGCGAGGAGGTCGGCCTGCTGCAGAGGCGAACGCAGCGTTCGGAGGAGGAGCTCGAGGCAGAGCTTGAGCTCGGATTTCAGTGCCGCCAGACCTACAAGTACTGCCAGCTCTTCTGCAAGCGCGGCTTCTTGCTCCCGGTCCAGGATTCATTCGACGAAACCAAGAAGTGCAGGGCGGAGTGCGAGGCAAACTTCGAGGCCTTCCAGGCCCCGCTGGAGAAGTACGTGGGCGCAGGCTGCTGCGCTTCGAACTGAGGCGCTCTGGGACCGCTCGGACGTACAGAGTCCATTATAAAGGAGTTTTTGCTAAACCCTCGAAGGTGAAGGTGAGCATTTTAATTTTTGAGGAATTAGCTAGTTTTATATGTTGGAAGTCCTGTGGGGGGAGCTGCTGAAGCACTTCGCTCCACGGTAGACATCTTAGTCGCGGAAGTGACGTGACATGTAGCAGTGGGCACTTGCTGACAGCTGATGGCTTGTCGAATGCTCCTGCAGAACAAGTCTGTGCATGGGGTCGCGCGACTGCGTGCTGCATGGCCTTGCTTGCTAGCCTACAACATTCAGTGGCTTCTTTCAAGAGCTCCCCTTGTCAATTTGGTGGGCGCGAGCCGAACACCCGAAGCGACGAGCCAAAGACCCCTAAACCCTAAACCCTAAACCCCAAACCCCAAACCCCAAACCCTGAACCCTGCAACCCAACCCTATAACCGTAAACCTCAAAACCCTAACCCCTTCAACCCTATAAACCCTGAACCCTGAACCCTGTAGCCGTAAACCCTATAGCCCTAAACCCTAAACCTTAAACCCTAAACCCTAAACCCTAAACCCTAAACCCTAAACCCTAAACCTCCCTGAACTCCCCAAGATGATCCGTGTGAAGACCGCCAAGGGATCCGTCGGGTTCTGCGCATCGCGAACAGGTACGTAGGCCGGGTTTGAGCTTCAGGGTTGGTTGCGGTTGAGGGCTTTGGGTGTAGTGTGTGTGTGTGTGTGTGTGTGTGTAGAGTCGTCCTCAATCAGCAGAGTGAAAGGTTGTCGAGAGTTTTAGGGTTGTAGAGTTTAAAGGTTTTTGGGTTTTTTGGGGTTTAGGGGTTTAAGGGGTTTTAGGCTTTGAGGGTTTTTAGGGTTCTTGGATGTTGGAGCGCATCAGGTCTTTGGTTTGCTGGGATGTTCTTGTCTTGCGGCTGAAAGGAATGGGGGGCTGGCTCACTTGGTAGCCCAGTGGTACCCTTTACCCTTTCTTGGGGTTATGGGTTCCTGATAAAGTAACCAACCCAAACAAGGGTGCCCTTATTGTAATGCGGGTTACTGGGTGACCAAGTACACGACCTTCCCAAACCCATGAGCCCCATAAACTCAACAATTGTTGGTCCCTAAAATCCCTGTAAAACCCCGTAAACCCAACCCCTATGAATTAGTTCCCTTTAAACTTACAAAAAACCTGAAATTCTGATAACCCGTACGAACCCCCATAGACCCCAGAAACCCTCTAAACCCTACCAAACCTCTAGACCCTATAGACCCTAAACCTAAACCCTATTAGCCGTAATTATATATATATATATATGTATATATATATATACCCTAAGCCCGAAACTCGAGTCTTTCATATGGCCAAGCGTGTTTATATCACGGCCCGGCGTCAAAATTAAGAAGAGATCATGTGCTTGTTGCCTGCTTATGCTGCTGCTGCCGCTGGGATGGAGACGGAAGCACTACGCTCGCCCGACAGGGGTCTTACCTTCAGCTTATATCTAAAAAGGTTGTTGGTCTGC